AAAAATATTTTGTAAATTTTAAAAAAATATATACATGTTTATTCTATGATCCTATACGATTTTATTTTTAAAAATTATTTTGCTACTGGAAATGGTACAAAAACTAATCAAAATTTGAGAATTAGTATATCCTTTTTTTTTTGGTCACAAGAGAATTAGTATCCATACCAAACTTATTTACAATTCAAATTTTTGTATAACTTGTTCCGCACTGTCCATTGTTAAGTACTTGTATTTCAGTATTTCGTTCTAAATTATTTAACTAGGTTTTTAAATGTGGTTATACAAAGTTTGTCTTTCTAGCAACATTGGGTCTTTTTTGCAAAATATACATGATTGATTGATTGTTAGGGGTAGCTAATGAACTTGGCATATTATCTTCTTAACTTGCTAAATTTGTAATAGTTGAGACTTACCAAACATTCAAAGAACACTGTCCCAGTTTGCTATTTGGCATATTATTATCTCAAATGTTGTGAATGAGATGCATGTTTACTTGCTAATTGTTTTATCAGTAGCCGTTGGCCTAGATTCTGAGTTAGATAGTATCATTGAAACACCGTATTAATCTAAAACTTCATAAACAGACATTATGAACGGCGATAGAACTGTACAAGAACCCAGTGACTGTTTGTCTAAATTTGGAAACTAGAACGCTTTCTATGAATGGCGATAGAACTGGACAGCAATTTGTCTAAAGTTTCCACTGTGATGATAAAGAAAGGGTCAAAGTATAAAACATTATTCTCATTGACAAAAGACCAAATAATAAGATACATTGTGTTCAGGTGAATCCAGTAAAATAGTCAGGATCGATAAAAGAGCAAAATCTGTCTAGACAGGCTAAAAGAGTATATCCGATTGATTGTTTCTTCTACTTCATCCCTAAAACAGAGATTAAGGCGATCAAAAGAAAAGAAAAGACCGGCCTCAAATTGCTAACCTGAACAGCTACTTCCTTGGATTGATCATTCATTGCTCTCTGTTGGAGCCGGTTTCTTTCCATATTGCTGCTAGAAGAAGCAACCAAGAACGAAACTTAGTGAACTATATTACTCAACTTGTTCAGACGTGAAGAGTCGGTTTTGTAAAAACACATACCTGTTTCCCGAAAGAGAAAGGGACATATCTGTATTTGATCATATGTTGTATTTGTTTCCTCATTGTGAGTATAAACAGCATCACCCAGTAGAAAAGAAGTATTGGCCAGAAAACAGGTACATCAAAGACTTCGAAAAACGTCATCAGAAAACCAATGACGAACGCCCTAATGATCGATAACCTAAAAACACACAACATTCCG